TGGCAAATTCATGTTTGCAAAAGTGGATTAACATAGAAGCTTGATGCCATTCCTTCTCCCCTTCTTCGGGGGTACATTTTCTCGGCTGGCAATTAAAGGGACAAGAGATTCGAAGGTCGGTTCCACCAGAAGACTACGGCGAATTCCTCTTGACCAGCTGTCGATTGGCTTTACTGAAACATTTACGCTGACGCTGTTTCCGAGGCAATCTCACTCGATTCCGGGGAAAAAGGTGCTAAGCTTTCGTCCGTCAACTGACAGACATTATCACAACCAAATTGAGGCTAACGACTTAAGAAAACTTACCGGAAAATCCCTAAAAAGCGGTATACATACTCTACATCTGTCCTTTTTGATCAAGTATCAAGTGATTTGGTTAGTTGAGGTCATATGCCAACTTCGATGCATGTGAGTGTGTCTGTCTCTGTATGTGTATGTGTCTGCATGTGTGCACGAAATACACGAAATCCGAAGTGATGGCTCAGAGTAATCAGGGCAGCAAAAAGGCACGTCTGTTTCTGGCTTGACACGTTAGATTGAATTTTGTTGTGACGATGCTATCTCATTTTTCACCGGAATCGAAGGAGATTGCCTCGGAAACAGCGTCAGCATGAATCTTGCAGTAAAGCCAATCGACAGCTTGTCAAGAGGAATGTGCAATCGTCTTCTGGTGGAACCGATCTTCGAATCTCTTCACGCACCACTTTCACTCAAATGGAAGTAAGCTCAACAATTATGAAACAAGTGATTCCTCAAAACCCAATTTTCTTCGCAATTAAAGGGACAGCCTGCACCTCGACCTCATTCTTAGTCTCCCCCGAGAGTTGATTGATTCAGGGTTTAGCTTCCCCAAATATTTCCTCCAAGTTATGTGTACTGCCTGACAGAGAAAAGTTCAAGCATCTTGAGAGAAACTCTTCATTGTTACTGTGCAGGGCCGTTGTAGCCAAGTCTACCACATTCATTATCTCTTCTTTGATCCTTAAAGCATCATGAAAGCTCATGAAATTGATTCATATACCCGAATTTGTAAGTATTTATCTCATTTAATTCTTATTTATTAGAAAAACTCCAACTATGCAGGCAAGCATGCAAGAGACACGCAGTCCCCAACTAAATCATTAAGATCACAAAGTTATGCTAAAGAAAAAGTTGGCATTTCAGACGGGCAACTTTTTCAGTTTACTTCGTTGGTGAATGGTTTCCAGCTTTGACGAAAGTTGTCACAGTTTCATCGAGGCAGCAGGTGAGATGAGCCAAAGTGTTCTTGGCACAAATACATCTTCAGAATTTTCCATTGGCTCTCGCCTTTTTAAACCACAAGAACGATATCTCATTCATAACCAATGACTGTATCCGACGCAGTCTAGCCTTTTTTTAAACGGTTTTGTTGACACTCAAAAGGTGTATGCTGAACAGATTGGCAGGTCGGCTTCACCAGAAAGTAGAGGCTGATTACCGTCATTCTGTAGCCATATCAGAACTATTTAACTACCACCTTTCAACAGAGGATAGACACAAAACAGCCATTATCATTTCGTGTGAAGACTGATCTTGCAATTGACTTGGAAAACATTCTTGTTCTGCAGCATGACTTTGATGCGTACAGATACCAATTAACTAATAGACACACATACACACACACACACACAAACAGATAAACATAGAAATATAGACAAAGAAGAGACAGAGGCTAATAAGGATAAGAAGAATGAGAAAAGAACGGAAATGAATACGGGCAGAAAAGCAGCTGGGAAGCAAGAAAAAAAGAGGGGGAATAATGTTGCTAAGAAAAGGGTAACGAAGAAGGCACGAAGATGGAGACAAAGATGGAGAAGGAGAAGATGAAAAAAGATGAGAAGCAAGAGGAGAAAAGGGAAAGTAAGAAGGAAATGAAGACGGAGAGGAAAGAGGAGAATATGGAGAAATAGCAACAGGCGAATAAGGAGCGTGAGAAGACATGGCATGTGGCTGAACACACAAACACCACAGGACACCAGATCGAGTTGTTTAACACCCAACTTTTGCAGAATAGATGGACTGCAGAGTGAAACTGACGATTTAGAAGTATTTTTTCGTATTGGAGTAGAATTTCGAGACTACCAGTGCCAAGCGTGTCAAGCTGCCATCCTGCACTGTCGCGGTTCGACTCCCGCTGAGGGTGTTGATGCGACCAGTTGATGCGAGGTCGAAACTGCAGACCACTCCAGCCGAGATGAGAACAACTTTTGGGAAAGCAAAGCTGTGTGAAATTCAATGGAAACGTCAGCTCAACTCATTTCATTTTGAAAAAAATCTACTACCACTACTACTACTGATTTAAAAGTAGACTAAACGTAGCAAAACAAGCATACTTTGAGTATGAAGAAAGAGAACATAACTTTAGAGACAGTGATAGCGACAGAGATAGGAGGAGAGAGAGAGAGGTAGATGGAGAGGGAGAGGAGGGGGGGAGGAACAATAAGTAGCGCCGAGCACTGATTCGCATCAGTCCACAATCCCACCTCCACGACAATGCTGCTACAGCTCCCGGCGAAAGGAAGGCCACTCAAAAATGAATTATCAAGAGTCTTTTCGAGAACCACTTTTTTTACACATTATCCCGAATTATTGTTGTACGTTAGGCGAGACCATATTGCCACCTCCCACCTGGTTTAAGTGCGTCCAAAGGTAGAGACTTATGTTTGTGTGTGTGTATGTGGGGTGGGGGAGAAAGAGAGAGGAAAGAGATTTAGAATCAGACGCTTCGCCGGCATCGAAGTCGGCATCGTCAGTGAGCTTTGCCACGGACTCGTCAAGAAAACATTTGAAGTCAATCCTCGCACCAATATTTTGCCGAAAACGGTGACATTAACACTCCTCTTTCTGCCCTGGCCTATCTACACGGCGAAGTTATCTCGTCTTTTTGCTTTGTTGCCATGACATGCATTAATGGGACTCGAACAATACTGGCCGAATCCCGCCGAAGTGGACTCCATCTCACAGAAAGCCATTCCGTTTATGCAAAGTCGATTAACCTCATTCTTTGCGCATGACCGTTTGCATGCGTCATTAAAGTAAATATCAGCGCATTTCAGTCGACAAATTTGTACGATATGATTCGCCTGACGCGAATTGTACAGATTTTGGGCTCTTGCTGGCCCATCAAGTCGTGACGGTACACGACACCAGATCAAACGCGTCTGCCTACTCCAAGTGTATCCAAGCCAGATCAGAGATGAAGGCAGTCTTGTGTCTTCGGTCGTTTGTGAATTGATGTTAAAAAAAGGTAGTAATACGTGCACGCGCATTCACCACTGCCTGGGGCCCACAAAGACACACCCATGTATATATACACACATACATGCACACACATGTAAGTGTGTGTGTTTCTCTCTAAATGGTCGTCTGATCATGTGAATCACTAACACATGCGCGCACAAAGACACCGAGATGAGTATATGTACATATGGTGCTGTTGTCTGTATGAAAAATCACTTAGCACGGAATCACATGGTCTAACGATAGCGAGAGCAATAGAGATAAAGATAGAGAGAGAGAGAGATGCAACATAGTGGGACACTTAAAACAGGCTTGATTCTCGAAACGAATGGCGCCGTAGAGAAGAGTCTCTCTGCTCCGTGAACTCGAGTCACTTTGAGGGAGTACGGCCTGACACGATGTAGATTGTAACGGCAGTTGTTGGGGCTGCTGGTGGTGGTGGTGGTGGTGTTACTGTGCTCGCACTCGAACCTGCCAACCGTTGGTGCTGGCGTCTGGTGGGCCAGCGATTGGTGAATGAAGGTAAACACGAGACAAGAGCGAATTGCTTCATGCGTCGACTGGATGCAGGCCTTTAAAACCGACTGTCACGCGGCTGTGAAGCTAAACAGAGCCTCGGACGTTGCGAGATTCGAGCGTTGATCGTCCAACAGCTGCTCAGACCAGCTCTTCTCACTCGCCAGTCTCCAGCGCCGACTCCCGGGTCCACCTGCCGGCGAGCTCTACGGGTCTCGACATGTCGCTTCTGCCCGTCGTACTCGTCTTCGTCTGTCTGGCAGGATTGTCCGCGGTGCATGGTCTCGTGCCACGACCCGCCGACTGGAAGCTGCTCGGCCAGAGCTACTCCGTTGCCAGCCAGCTTCACTATGGCCTGAACGAGGCGCCGAAGTGTCGTCTGCTTCAGGACGCGGTGCGTAGGTTCGACCGCCGCATCCACCTCGTCGGCTCGCCAGTCAAGCCGACCGACGAGGGCGTCGAGCCTGTGGCGCCATTGAAGATGGTGAAGATGAGCATGCGAGAGGTCTGCGACGAGGCCGCCGGCCCGATCTTCCCGACTCCAGACACGAATGAGGCATGTGAGTTGAGCAAGACTGGTTGAAAGTCACCTTTTATGCCGTTTTATGCTCCATTTCGAGGGAATTCGTGAAATTGCCTCACCAGAAACCTGCTTCCGTTACCGGTGATACTATTTTCTAAAGACTTTCCAACCAACAATTCCGACAAAAACGCGTTTTTGCTATTTCATTACTTAAAGTATATGCGAAGAAAAGTTGCGTTTCGAGCAATCTCTTGTTTCATAATTGTTGTCGAGCTGACTTCA